AGAAAAAGGACTCGGTCCGTCCAAAATCGAGCTGGAAATATTAGTAAGTACTCGGTCCGTCCCTGAAAAACTTTCAACTTTCTTTTTTTGGCGTCACAAAATAAACTTTCACTTTCCTTTTTAGTAATGAAAGATCAGAAGAAAAAGCCCTTCTTCGGATCCTTAAGCCTGACAGCACATGCCGTGATAGTCTCCGTGGTCACAAACGTTCGCATGAGGACCCCGATGATTCGGATCCTCCTGAGGGGGAGAACAAGAGGCAATGGATACTTGAGCGTGATGCGTCAACAAGCCAACCTTCCACGCAATCCAACCCACCTGAATCCTCGAACAATCAGCCCCCACCATCCACTCAACACAAAAGCCAAATAGCCAATCCACCCATTTCTAGCCCGGTCGAGCTAGACACAACACTCCTAGGCACACCCGTTACAGGTGCTGTCTAAGGATGGAGTGGAAGTCCTGAGGTTGCGACTTCGAGTACACCATTTTATTCAGGCCATCAGAAATAACCTAGTTCTAATCTGATGATAACGGGCAATCCTAGTGATCCCAGTGTTACTTTTGATAGATCGCCACATCAGCAACAAACTCCCTCTAGTCCCTCTGATGATCAAACGCTCGATAAACTTGAAGAAATTCTTGTTTATGACAAGTGGCCCCGCCAATGGACAGAGTGGGACGAACTAAGAGCAGAAGTAGACCAAGATGAAATACAACGAAGTGTGCGTCTCAGAGAACTGATTGCCAAGTGTGCTGCTGAAATGATTGGGCTCGATGAAGATGAAATCAAGGAAGGGGAGAACTATCAGGAAAATTCCAAGGAGCCGGAACCAATCACCAAGCAAAAGGAAATTAAAAAGCCCTTGGAAATTCTTAGAGTCAACGCCCCCTTTCTATAGGAAATTTGAGAGCGGATATGGCGTCAACCAGAGAAACTCATAAAATTCAGTGAACTGAAAATTCGTGGACTCAACCACTTTAAAGGAAAGTACAGAGGAGGAAACATATTTATGCTTTACCAAAGATCAACAGGCGAACAACGCAAAATTCTGAATCATAATCTTGAAACAAACAAGCATAGCTCCTGTGTCAAAGATTCTAAAGGTAACAAAAGACTATCTCGAGACTATCAGGTTCTATACTTTCCAGGTTCAACGCACTGACGGGACCGAGTTCACCTGCCAAGAGAATGACTACTTCTTCTTACACATGGATGACATCTATCAGATGTTCATGGCATGCAGACAACTCCCAGTCCACAAAGACAGAATTGCTAAAGAAGGCTTCGAGGCTATCAAAAGATTTATGACCAGACAAGTTCGATATTATGCTTCCCATGATCTCCAAATGGCCCTAGAAAACAACTATTCAAAGGCAAATCTCACGCAACAAGAATGGAACAGACCGGAACTTGAACCCTACTCAGCATACCACACCTTTGACAATCCGGTCTCAGTCATCTATCTGAATCACAAAGAGGAGAAGCGCCTGATGGTCGTTGAAGACATTCGCAAATACTGTGACGGGACTCTGAATTGAAGATCATCCGGGAATAGTTGCAACCAAGAAAAGAAGAACTGGATAAAAGACAGACTGAAGCCTCAAAGGAAGAACTCAAGGAACTGGAAAGAGTTGATAAAATTCTGAAAGCCATCGAAAAGCAAATCAATGATAGAAGGTCACTCAGAAGCTACGAGCATGCACTCAATCTCAGACAACACTATTATAAAGCTCGGAAGTGAAGAATAGAAGAAGCAAGAACATCTGATCAGAAAGGGGGAGATTGTTAGAGATATTTTCATTATGATGTGATCAATGTTACTTAGGCTTTTGTAATAATTTATTTATTCATAGAATAGGCCTTAAATGGAAAATGTTACTAAGCTAAATTAGGAATGGGCCTCCTAAAAAGGAGAACCCATATCATTGTAAACCCTACAATTCTAAAGAGGCTATAAATAGACCCCTTAGGAATGGCTAGGTTAAGCTTTTCAGATATTCTCATACCCTAGTGCCGCAGTGCCTATATCGGTGATAGAAGTTTTACGCTAAGTTTTGTTCATCATTCTGTAAACTTCTTCATCATTCAATGGAAAGCTTCATTCATAGATCTGTCTTCCTTACTCATACATTTTAGAATAGAAAACAGGGACCTAACACTCCTCAAACATGGGAGGAACGTCAGAGTCTAAGAAAGGGTACTTCTTTTCCAACATCTCTTCTAGAAATGGTTTAACACGTTTTGACGCCTCCATGTCGACCCTAGAAATTTGCTTCGAATTTCGAGTGAAGATCTTAACAGGTGCAGTCTTCGCGACCATTGCTTCTTTCTTTTCAAACTTAGGAAATGGCTTACCCCCATTCTTGGTATCTTGTTGTTCAATCGCATTATTGACGGGATACATACCCACAATTTTCCTTCTACTGCTCGTAATGCTCAACTCCATGTTACGAGCTTTGCTTGCTAGCTCATCAAAAGTGTTTGGATCGACTCCTTTGAGAATGTAGCACAATTCCCAATGCATTCCTTCAATGCACATATCGATAGCGGAGTTTGTAGAGATTCGTTCTTTGCAGTTTAGAGCAAGATCCCTCCAACGCTCTATGTAAGCTATCATAGATTCATCTTTCCATTGGCGAGTAGTTGTTAGTTCGAGTAAATTGACCACCCTCCTTGTGCTATAGAAACGGTTTAAAAACTCGCGTTCCATATCTTACCAGCTATCAATGGAATCGGGCTCCAAGTCAGTATACCAATCAAATGCATTTGCTTTCAAGGAGCGCACAAACTGCTTGACAAGGTGATCTCCACTTGTTCCCGCATTGTTGCAAGTCTCTACAAAATGGGAAACAAGTTGTCTTGGATTTCCCTTCCCATCAAACTGGATGAACTTCGACGGTTGGTAACCGATGGGCATTTTTAGATCCTCGATCCTTTGAGTGTATGGCTTAACATAGGAATAAGTAGACTGACTTTCTTATATCTTCCCCTTTATGGTTCTCATGATGAAGTCTTTGAGTTGATAAATCGGGATCATGCCCCTAGAGGTTGAGATGTTCTTCCCTGAATCCTCTTGGTGAGGGTCATCCTCTTCATGCATTTCGGGATCCTTCTCATGCGTATGACTTGACTCACCTTTCAAGCTTTCTACTTTGTTCTTCAGATCATTTAACTTTTGGTCTTGAGATTGCATGAACATACTCATCCCCTCGATGACCTTAGTTAGATGGGCGATTTGTTCTTCCATAGATGTGGTGCTCGTTGTCATGGTGGGCATTACGGTGTAGACATTTGACCACTGTGGAGTTTCTTCGTGGAGGACTTGACGGGGGAGTAGAGTCTGATCCAGATGATGAACTCTCACTGCTACTTGTCCATTTTGGGGAAGTAACTTCACGTATGGGTGAAGAAAACTTCCGGGCCATCTACTGCGCAATTCGAGATCCATCCATTGCACCGGGAGTAGTTCCCGAGGATGACTGCGCAGCCAGGATTCTTGATCGGCTCCTAGTGATAGGGCCTTGCATGTTTTGATTTGAGCTTGACGATGCTCGAGAATTCAAAGTGAACACGGGCTTGCTTGATGCCATTGGTTCGTTTTCCCTTGATCAAAAGTGAATAGATGAGAGGTAGAGTTGTCCCACCGGGCGTGCCAAAAATTTGTGAAACAAATTTTAAGTATTTACTTAAAATTGATCGCAAATAATAATATATGAGAATATAGGGTACAATCTCTAAATATGAATCCTCTGATTCTTCACTTGCAATTTGAAGTAATATAATTAAAGAATTTAATTTAAAATTAAATCTGTAATCCTTCAAATATTCGAACGTTCTTCGAATCTTCGAATCTTCGTTCTTGAGATCTTCGAATCTTCGAATCTTCGTTCTTCGGTTCTTCAAATCTTCTTGAATAAAGAATTCAGATTGAAGGGCCTCCGGTTTTCAAGTGGCTTGATCTTCAACAAAAGGGCCGTTTTATGGTTTAATCTTCTGTTTAAGGGCCTCCCGGGATATATGGCTTGATCTTCAATTGAATTTTGATTCAATCTTCATATGAATATCTTCAGATCTTCAAAGATTCGTTCTTCATATCTTCGAATCTTCAAAACTTCGTTCTTCAGATCTTCGAATCTTCAAGCTTCGTTCTTCAGATCTTCGAACGTTGTTCAACTTTTGGCTTTGTTTGATCAAGAATAGATGAAAATGACAAAGGATTAATCAGACATTCTTGACAAAAACGTGGCTTAATATCTTCCGATGTTTCGGAATTCTTTAGAGCCTTTCGGGAGTTCTTCAGAGCTTTTCTGCAGCGTTTCTTCGACTGGAAGTTCTCTCCTCTTCCTCTCAACTGAGACCCCTATTTATAGGTGTGGAGGGGGTGAAAATATGCTTTAGGGTTTAGCAAATTCGTCCATACCCCATGGGCCTCAATTAAAATGGGCTTCGGGCTCTATTTTCTTGCATTTTAATAGCTAGAAAAAACAGCACTTGTTCGATGTATCTGGACAGTTTTCTTAACAAGGTTCAGAGCTATTTCTGATGCATATGGACATATTTTTTAACCAGATTCGTCCTCTTTATCAACTGGACCATGTCTCTTATTTATTGGGCTCAAAATTAATAGGATCAACCCATTTTTTAAAGACTTAATTTATAATTAAATTAATTGGACATTTAAGTGATCCAAATCAATTTAATCATTGAATTACATCCGAATGAACCCATATTAATATTTTCCTTTTGATTAGGCCCAGAGATCGTTACGAGCAGTCCAACAATATTTGACGTTGGCCCAATAGCCTTCAAAAGAGACCTAATAAGACATATAATAGTCCGATAGCACTTGAATGCGTTCAATAATATTAAGGACCATCATAAATAATAAGTCCAAAATATTGAATAATTTTCAATATCCACATGGTTTCTTCTTAATTAACGACGAAGGGAACAAGGATTTAATTACATGACGAAAAGAGATAATAAACGTACGTTTAATTTAATTTACGTGCCTGTTTCGGAGAGGGTAAGAGAGGTCGGGCGAAGATGGTGTCGTTGAAGTTGCAGAAGCGGCTCGCCGCAAGCGTGCTCAATTGCGGAAGAGGAAAGGTCTGGCTTGATCCCAATGAAGTCAATGAAATCTCCATGGCTAACTCCTGTCAAAACATCCGGAAGTTGGTGAAGGATGGGTTTATCATCAGGAAGCCAACTAAGATCCACTCCAGGTCTCGTGCCCGCCGAATGAAGGAAGCCAAGAGAAAGGGTCGCCATTCTGGATATGGTAAACGTAAGGGTACTAGGGAGGCTAGGTTGCCCACTAAAATTCTTTGGATGAGGAGGATGAGAGTGCTTAGGCGTTTACTTCGCAAGTACAGAGAGGCTAAGAAGATTGACAAACACATGTACCATGATATGTACATGAAAGTTAAGGGAAATGTCTTCAAAAACAAGCGTGTGCTGATGGAAAGCATCCACAAATCAAAGGCAGAGAAAGCTAGAGAGAAGACATTGTCCGATCAATTTGAGGCCAAGAGAGCCAAGAACAAGGCTAGCCGTGAGAGAAAGTTTGCACGGCGTGAGGAACGTTTTGCTAAGGGCACTGTGGAGAAGGAAGCACCTGCTCAAGCAGCAGCAGCTCCCCAAACCCAATCAGCCCCACAGGTATCTAAAAAATCAAAGAAGTGAAGCCCTGGACTTGTCTCTTGCTAGTTGGAGGCTTTACATTATGTTTTCTTATCCTTGCCATTTTTGTTGTTTTATCATTAATATTAGAATATTTGTGCTTTCCGGACTTGTGAAGTTTATAACCATGGTACCATGTTTTTATTCTAAAAAAAAAAAAAAACGTACGTTTAATTTAAGAACAGTTTTCAAAAGTTTAGTTGCTAACTAATAGGGTTTCATAATTTCATATGTAGTGCTACGTATTTATATAATACTCCGTATGTGTGTAAGCAACTGATTGATCATAAGATTCATAACATACTCCGTAATTCCGTATAACTTATTATTACTCCGAATTACAAATAATAAATCCAGGCATGCTGCATGCAGTTGATCTGTTTATTTATGATTTATCGGAGTATGGAACAAACTCCATCTGTCGATTTCTGTCAGCTCTACGGCAAAAACGTTGTCCTCAGCTGTTCAAACAAATTCAAATGCGCTGTCCACAAAAACTTAAGCATTGTTAATTACAAGTAGAGCGGATGTTAAACCGGTTTTATCTACAAGTTTTTGAAACTCAATTAGATATGAGGGAATGATATGTAGTACTCCCTCCGTCCCAATTTGATGATCCCGTATTTCCTTCCTGGGCCGTCCCAAATTGATAGTCTCATTTCACTTTTTGGAAAGAAATATGTGGTCCACGTCATTTCACATTTTTCTACTCAAATCCCAACCACAACTTTTACCTTTTCAACCACTTCCTTAATCTTTGAGCCCAAAAGAAATGAGATCATCAAATTGGGACGGAGGGAGTATATAAGTATATAACAAAATAATGCAGAGAAGTGTGATGTAAAATATACTCCGTAATACCGAGCATTCAGAAAATCGAAAATGTCATTGCTATTCACTGTTATTCAGTTCAGTGCCATAATAATATTATTTACTTGTTGGTTTCGCTGATGAAATTAGTTTTTCATTTGTAAAGTTACAAGTTCAGTGTTATTGTCTTACTTAACTAAAATTAAATCAAATTTTAATCTCTTCGCATTGATGAATTAATTTAGAGATAAGACTCAAATTGGACACTATGGTTACATGTGAATCTCATATTAGTCATTAAGGATTTAAATAATGGCACTATAGTTATTTGTGTGAATCTCATATTGACCACCAAAGTTTCATAATTCGTCATTTTTGGACACTTAATAAACAACTTAATTGATGCATGTATATAATTTTGGAATATTTAATTTAAGGTTTTAGAATATATATTTCAATTTTAATTAATAACTTCTTATATTTTTAATATAAAAAATAAATTCAGGACTTTTCAATCATATGATTATTATGGAACTTTGGGAAATACCAATTTGTTAAATTGGTTTAAAGAAAATAAAGAATTCAATTACATTATAATAGATTATCTTAATAGAAACATCTAATTATATATTCTAAATCTAAACACACTAATTAAGTTTTACTCCGTATTTTTTTAATTTTTTTAGGTAAATAGAACAAAGGAAAAAAAGAATACTAATAGCTTTCAAATATGAAAATCTTTTGTGGGAAAAAGGTCAGAAAAAGTTAAATTTGATCCATTTGAAACCTTAGTGTTCAATATGGTTGTTAGCGTTTAAATTTTGAATTCTTTCATTTAGATTTTTGATAGTTTGAAAATAAAATTGATGAACTGGTAATATTCAATTAGTCATTACAATTTTAAATTGCTCTTATCATTCATATATATAGGTATGAACTTATGGTATGTGTAAGGTGTTAGAGACTGTATAACCAAGCCCTATCCGTCGATCCAACTCGACGAGTAGTTGGACGGGGGGCGGTAGCCCCCCGGGCCCCGAAATTTTTGGTCCGTTTTTGACGATCAAGTTTTCCGTACAATTCCGTACAGGTTGGGCCGTACGGATTATTTTTTTAAGGCCGAGCGTCCTAGGTGGCTTAGGGTTGGGTTTTACTCTATGAATACAAGCTCTCTCCCTTTGTAATCCCTTAGATCCGAAAATAGCAATAATATTTTTGGCTTGGTAGTGCCCCCAGTCGTAGTCATTCGTGGCAAACCATGTTACCAAATTTTCGTGTGTTCTTCTTATTATTCATGGCGTGCGTGAGTTTAATTCCTAACAATTGGTATCCGAGCCCTTGGTTCGAAGGGTAATCTCACGATGGTAGACAATTTGAAGACACCGGTGATGCAGTTTGACGGAACAGATTCTGGAAGTTGCAGATCGAAGATTACCTGTACGATAAAGATCCGTATCAACCTCTGGATGATAAACCGGAAGACATGAAGGAGAGCGATTGGAAGTTGCTGGACAAAAAAGCGATGAGCGTGGTTCGATTATCGCTGTCCAGAAACATCGCCCTACACATTGTCAAAGTAAAAGCGATGAATGAGATGTTGCAGATTTTATCGGATATGTACGAAAAACAATCCACTATGAACAAAGTTCATCTGATGAGGCGTCCTTTTAACCTAAAGATGTCAGAAAGAACGGGAGCGGTGGATCATCTCAACGAGTTCAATGTGATCACCACACAGTTGAGTGTGGTTGAGATAAAATTCGACGGCGAAATTCATGCCCTAATTCTCCTGTCTTCTCTCCCGGAAAGCTGAAACGGAACGGTGACTGCAGTCAGCGCTTTGGTAAGGAAGGAGAAACTGAAATTCGATGAAGTAAAAAATCTGGTAGTCAGCGAAGAAATTCGCAGGAAGGAATTAGGCTTGGCTTCTGGATCGGCGTTGAGTACAGAGAACCGGGGCAGAACGAAGTCGAAGTCAAATCGGGATAGATCAAGATCGAAATCCAAATCAAACAGCAAGGGCAAGAAGGATAGAAGTCAGATCAAGTGCTGGAATTGTGAGGAGTATGGACACTTCAAGAGCCAGTGCAAGGAGCAGATCAAGGATCAAAAGGAGAAGACATCCGCCAATGCAGCGACAGAGTCATCTGGCGATGATCTCCTGATCCTAAGCTTGAGCAGTCCGTTAGAGTCATGGGTCCCGGATTCTGGAGCTTCGTTCCATTTATGTGGTAATGCTGAAGTGATGGAGCAGTACACACCAAGCAATTTTGGAGAGGTGCATCTTGCTGATGATGAGCCTCTTAAAATTGTCGGAAAGGGTACAGTCCACGTGAAGACTCCGAACGGATGCATGCTGAAACTGAATGGAGTCTGACACATTCCTGGTTTGAGGAGAAATCTTCTTTCAATTGGGCAGCTGGATGAGGAAGGCTATGCAGTTACATTCGGCAGCAGAAATTGGAAGATCACCAAGGGAGTCTTGCTGGTTGTTAAATGGAAGAAGGATGGTATGTTGTACATGACAACGAACTCGAAGGACTGCATCAATATTGCTGCCGCTGTAACAAACGATGTGAATTCGTGGCATTATCATCTTGGTCACATGAGTGAAAAGGGGATGAAGGAGCTGTGCTCAAAGGGCAAACTGTCCGACCTGAAGACCGTTGAGGTTGACTTATGCGAGGACTGCATATTCGGGAAACAGAAACGTGTCGGTTTCTCAAAGGGAAGATGAGCTATTAAACCGGAGAAGCTGGAACTAGTTCACACTGACCTTTGGGGACCTGCAGAAGTTACATCCTTGGGAGGATCCACCTACTACATGACCTTTATTGATGATGCCACAAGAAAGGTGTGGGTTTATTTTCTCAAAAATAAATCCGATGCCTTTGATGCTTTTAGGAGATGGAAAGCTCTTGTTGAGACAGAGACAGGTCTGAATTGATGTGCCTTCAATCTGACAACGGAGGTGAGTATGAACTGCATGAGTTCAAGAAGTTTTGTGCTGATAATGGGGTTCGTATGGAGAAGACAACAAAGGGGACTCCGCAGCATAATGGCGTTGCTGAACGCATGAACAAAACACTGAATGAGCAGGCTAGATGCATGAGTTTGAGAATGGCATGAGTTTTGGGAGGATGCAGTGAACACTGCAACTTTTCTCATCAACAGAAGTCCAACGATCTCGTTGGAGAATGGCATTCCTAAAGAAAGGTGGATGGGTAAGGAGGTTAATCTGTCCTATCTCCGCACATTTGGTTGTGTTGCTTATGTTCATATCAGTTCCGTTGACTGAAGCAAGCTAGGCACAAAATCTGTGAAGTGTACGTTCGTTGGCTATGGTGGTGATGACTATGCATACAGGTTCTGGGATGATCAGAATAGGAAGATTATTCGTAGCCGAGATGTGGTCTTCAACGAAAAGATTATGTACAAGGATAGATTGAGTGCATCTGATTCTGAGCAAGACATTTCGAAGATCATAGAGTTAGATATCTCTAATTCGGGTGGGAGCGAGAAGGATCAGAATGAAGAAGTGACCAGTGATGAAGAACCATCAACCCCACCAAGGCAGCGGCTTGCCAGAAACCGGAGAGCACCAAATAGGTATTCACCTTCTAATTTCTATTTGTTGCTTACTAATGGTGGTGAACCGGAGTCCTATGCAGAGGCAGTTCAGGTTGATGACAAGGGCAAGTGGAAACTTGCAATGGATGATGAGATGACATATCTCACATCCAATTATACTTGGAGGTTAGTTGAGCTACCGAGAGGAAAGAAGGCTTTGCACTGCAAGTGGGTCTACCGCATCAAGAAGGAGACAGATGGTAGCAAACGCTGCAAAGCTAGATTGGTTGTGAAGGGGTTCGAGCAGCGTTATATGGTATTGATTATACTGACATATTCTCTCCAGTTGTGAAACTAACTACTATTCGGTTAGTGTTGGGTTAGTTGCTGACTTGCTGCAGATAAAATGTTATTACATCAGATGGATGTGAAGACTGCTTTCCTTCATGGTGATCTGAATGATGAGATTTACATGGTGCAATCGGAGGGCTACGTGGGGGAAGGTAGTGAGAATCTCGTATGTAAGCTAGTGAAGAGCTTATACGGGTTGAAGCAGGTACCGAAGCAGTGGTACAAGAAACTTGATGGTTTCATGAGGGACATAAATTTCTTGAGATGCCAAACCGACAATTGCTGCTACTACAAGAAGACTGACAACTGTTATCTTATCTTGCTGTTATATGTTGATGATATGTTGATTGCAGGAACTAGTTAAAAGGAGATTGAGAAGCTAAAGAAACAGTTGTCAGAACGTTTTTCCATGAAGGATGTTGGAGAGGCAAAG